AACCCCATAGAGAACCTGTGGGATATTGTGAAGAGAAAGTTGAGAGACGCAAGACCCAACACTCTGGATGAGCTTAAGGCCGCTATCGAAGCATCCTGGGCCTCCATAACACCTCAGCAGTGCCACAGGCTGATTGCTTCCATGCCACGCCGCATTGAAGCAGTCATTCATGCAAAAGGATTCCCGATCAAGTATTGAGTGCATAACTGAACATGATTATTTGAAGGTTGGAGTTTTTTGTATTAAAAACACTTGTCTTTCATTGGTGGGATGAAATATGCTAATTTTTTGGGACAGGCATTTTGGGTTTTCATGAGCTGTATGCCATAATCATCAGTATTAAAACAATTAAAGACCTGAAATATTTCAGTTGGTGTGCAATGAATCTGAAATGTATGAAAATTTCCTTTTTATCATTACATTATGGAAAATAATGACCTTTATCACAATATGCTAATTTTTTGAGAAGGACCTGTATATTTATACTGTATATATACTTTGTATATATATATTAATATATATATGTATATAGGGAAAGTTAAAAAAAATGCACACCAAGTAAGAGCTTGGGATTCAAAAGCATGAAACTGTCTAGCCAGGGAGGACCATGTGAGGGAGCTACCAGGTTTTTTGGGGAGTGACGATTGCCCCCTTGGCCCTCCCTTGGTGGCACCCCTGCTCATGCTCTGTTTTACTCCCAGAAATTTCCTTCACCCCAAATCTTGAAGCTGCAACTCATTCCTCACTTTGACAGATTATTCCACAGCCTCCATAGGAGAACTCTGGCCTTGAATTTATGGGTTGTGATTCTGAGCACTTTGGTGAAGCAATCTGCAGGTTGCAAGAAAACGATCAGATGACACGAAAAATAACCACGTTGTCAGCAAAGAGGTAAAGCAAAGCTCCTTTCCTCAGCCAAAATTTTGCAGTCCTGTTAGGGAAACTCAAAAATATTTTGTTTTTCACATTTGGTTGGAAATTCAGTTGGTTTTCTTTTCCAGAAATTCAAAAATCTCTACATTATTTTGAAACTGGAACCTCAAACAGGTACTGCTGTGACATTCATTTAAATTCAGGAATTTATTAAACTGCCCGTGTACGTTTTATATAATAACAGATGTTTTAGTCTGCAGTGAATTTAGATCTGTTTTATAGTTTCTGGTACTTAGCAGACACTTTTAATCAAGTTTATTACTTAAAAATGAGAAACAACTTTTCACATTAGTGCAGTAAATATAAAAAAGTTTCAGGATTGCTCTTATCTATCAGAAGGGCAGAGTACAAAAAGATTAAGTGGAAAAGGTCTATTTATATGGTTTAGGGTGTGGGAAGACATGAGGCTCCTAATAAAATGTCTGAGCTCATATTTCTAAACCAAAAATGACAACAGTTTGGACTTGAAAGTGCACATTGCACAGGATCTGACAACGTTACTGAGAGGAACCGAGGGAGCTCAAACTTAGACTGAAATCTTTCAAATCACTGATTAATCAATGAGTTAATGATTATCCAGCATGTTTCATAGAGCAATAAAGTGGTTTGTTGCTGCCTGTGACTTATTAAACGTGACCAATGTTGCTTCGTTTTGAAACATCTGCAGGAGCTTCAGCGTGAAAACTAGAAGACATCTTCTTTACAGTGTGAGATTAGGTTGGCTTCTGATCAGACAGCAGGATCTTTTTTAGCTAGAAGGGCAAAATAATCACTCCTAACACAAAGTCTCTGAGAAAAGGCAGTTTGAATGCTGAGCACTAAATTCTACTGAAAAAGCTCAAATTGAGCTGTTATAGTAAAAAGAGAAAACAAAGTAAAGGAAAAAAATATTAATTAAAAGTAGCAAAAAGCTAAATGCAACAAAATGTTACTCGAATTGGAAAAAGGTTAGCCAAAAGCTAGAAGTAAATAAGTCTGGCTAAATATTAGAAGTAGCAGAATGCTAGCAAGAAGCCAAAAGTCGCTTAAAGCTAGCTAAAACTTAAAAGTTGTCAAATCTTGCTAAATGCAGCAAAGGCTTTGTTAAAGTAGCAAAAGTCTAGTTAAAAAATAGAGTAGCAAAATGTGTCTAAAAGTAACATAAAAATAGCTTAAATATAAAAAGCTAGCGAAAAGCTACAATAGCAAAAGGCCTGGTTAAAAGTAGCAAAATGCTTGTTGGAAGCTAAAAGTAGAAAAATTAAGCTAAAGCTTTACTATAGCAGCAAAGGGGTAAGTAAAAACTGTAAAATGCTAGGTAAAACATTCAAAAAAGCTAACTACAGGCAAAAAATGTCTAAAGGCTAAATAAAAGTTAAAAGTAGCAAAAGGCTAGCAAGAAGATAAAAGTAAAAATAATCCAGCTAATGCAACAAAAACGTAGCTAAAAGCAGTAAAAAGGCTTGATAAAACAACAAAAGATAAGCTCAAAATAGAAAAAAAAAACATCCAAAAGTATCAAAAGCATAGCCAAATGTTAAAAGTAGAAGATTGGTAAAAGTGGTACAAAAATGCTGGAGCAGATTTTAAATAGAATAACATTCATGACTGGTTGTTGTTAATAATATTATAATAATTAAAACAAAAATTTAATCACACACCAATAGTTAATTAAAGTTCATGTCAGGCCCACACATTTCAGGATCAGTTTTCTCTCAGCTCTCTGTTGTTTGGTCACCTTGATTGACAGGAGCAAGGATTGGAATGATGAGCTGAATTCTTGTGTGAATGTTGTCCTCATGACACCTCAGTAAAAATGTGTCACCGTGTTTCAGACGCTCAGTTATTGTTGGGAGAAGAAGGAAAGCCGTGCTGTCAAACATTTACACGGCTCTGTGTGCTCGCTCTGTCCTTCCTCAAATTATGCAAACGTCTCAGAGGACGCTGGAGGGAACTGAATGTCTGACCCCGTTTAATATTTCTGCAGGTTGGTTATCGCAGGTTACTGAGCTGGAATTTAATTTCTCATAATTAAAAACAAAACGGGGAGTTCAGAACAAATTGAAGTGGTGCTTTAATTAAGAAATGTTTAAGTTCAGAGGTTTTGCTGAGAGTGCTGCAGAAGGAAACTTACAGCTGGTTTGTAGAAAACAGGAAATTTATTTTACTCTGTCTGAATGTGTGTTTGGGGTTTTAAAGTAGCTCTTCTGGTTTACCAGGTTTGACCTGAAGCTGTAGTTTGAATTCAACAAACTGCAGATGATGTAAGGAAACAGGCGGTTCCTTTGTTCACATTTCAGCATTTTTATTAAAACTTCAACAAGTTGTGTAACATTCAGACAATAGATTTGTAGAAACGTGATCTTTAACTGGAAAAACGGCATAATTTGCAAAAATGCAGAGTGAGCACTAAATGATGAAAGGCTTTGTTGAAATTTGCCCAATAAGCTGGAACCCAGTTGTTTAAACTATAAGAAGCAGAATATTAGCTGAAAGGTAAAGTAACAAAATGCTAGCCAAAATGTAAAAGGAACGAAAGGCCAGCTAGAAGATTAAAGTAGCAAAACTCTGACTCAAAGCAGAAACTGAAAAAGGCTAGCTAAATGCAAAAAGTTGTTAATTGATAGCTAGAAGCTAAAAATAGCAAAATGCTAGGTGTTAGCAGCAAAGTGTTGGCTATAAGCTAAAAGTAACAAATGATCAGATAAAATCTAAAAGTGGCAAAGTGATAGCTAGAGGCAAGAAGCAACAAAGGTAAGCTAAAAGTAGCAAAATGCTACCTAAATGTTAAAAGTAGCTAAATTATAGATAAAAAGCAGGAAAAGGGTGGCTTAAATCAAAAAGAACCAGGAAGAGGCTCACGAGGCTGGATAGAAGCCAAATATAACTAAAGACTAGCCAAAAGCACAAAAATAAATAAATAAATAAATGTCTCAACTAGGAAAGTGATAGCTATAAGATTAAATAGCAAAAGGCTAGCTAAGCTTACAGATGCTAAATTCTATGTAAAAACAGCACTGGTTCGGCTAAAAGCTTAAAGAAGGAAAATGATAATTAGAAGCTAAAAGATACCAAATGGTAGCTAAAATAGCAATTGTTAAAAGCAGCAAAAGACAAGCTACAAGTATCAAGCTTTTAGACTTGCTTAAAACTAAAAGAGCAAAAGGTTGACTAGAAACTAAAAATAGATAAAATGTTAGAAGCTTAAAGAAACCAAAGGTTAAATAAAAGAAGCAAAAAGCTGGAAAGAGGCTCAAAGTTGCAAAGGGTTAGCTAAAAACTAAAGCATTTTAAATAAAATAATGGTTTTGGGAACTGATGAGGTCAATGTATTTCTAAAGGAAATATTTGTTAATACATTTAAATGTTGTAAAAGTATAAAAGATTTAAAAAAAAAGTGTCTAAAAACTAAACTTTGGGCTTCAGTCCGCTGGTTTTAGCAGCAGCTTCTTCCTACTTGGCAGTCAGTCCAGGCATGGCACATTTTTAAAAAGTATATCAGCAGATTAAAATCCGTTGACTGAATCATCAGTCCACCTCTTGAAATGACAGTTAAGACATTTTATTTTGCCTCTTTTAAAAATCCCAAATATCCAAAAACAACAACAAAAATGCATTTGAAAGACGGTATTTTTATTTTTTTTGGTTGTGAATTATTTATTTTGTTTTGATGTTTAACAAGTCATTGTTATTAAAAAGAACGGTGTATCTAAATCTTAAAGTCACTCACTGCAAACTATAAAATCCAACATAAAAAGGTTATCCTGAACATTATCAAAGGGCGCAGTTCAAAGGAGTTTATACTCCAGCAGTTTTCCAGATATATTAATATATAATACTGAAATATGGGTACGCACTCAATGTAAACAAAGCACATTTAACTGCATACTTTATTCAACAAATCTGAGCGTAAAAACGCACCAATATATCAACATGGTCAGACTTCTCCATCCCAAACGGCTCTTCCGTTAGATAAACAACCACACCTTGTAGTTGGCAGCCATTTTGAAGCGTAGGAGGGTGAAACTACGCACCGAAAGAAACACCTCTTCATCACCTGAACCTTTGTGTTTTGTTGTCTGCCTCAGCTGCAGGTATGGCTTCTTTCGGGCAGCCGGGCGAGATGACCGAGTACAAGAAGATCCTGATCAAACGTGACTTGGAGATGGGCGTGGTCATGACGGTGTTCAGGCAGAAGGTGGAGCGACTCACGGTGCAGGTCATCATGGAGACCCGGCAGGTGGCGTGGAGTCGCACCGCAGACAAAACTGACGGTGCCTGTGAGTATACTGACGCTCAGATAACTTCTAGTGAAAAACTTAACTTCTTGGTAGTTAGTCCTCAAAGATTTTGTAAAGATTTACCTGTTTTGACAGATGTGTCAAAAATAGTGTGAAGTCTTCACTGACAAATTCTGGGAAACTGGGAATAAAACAGAAATTTACAAACAAATTTCTAGTTTGCTGCAGTCAGAGCCGCAAGATTGAGTACAGCGTTCGAGGCAACTGTAGTGCCACGTGGGCATATTTTGGAGTTGACTTTATCAGAGATTTTATATATACAACTTATTTAAGTTTCTGAGCTACGACGGAGCTTTTTAGAGCGACGCTAAAAAACCCAAAAAACATTGCCATGCTAAGAAAAAAAAAAGCCATAAAATTACGAGAATAAAGTTGAATAAAGTCTTAATATTACGAGAATAAAGTCGTGCAAGCCTTTTTTTTAACAGCTCTCGTTTATTTATTTTTTCCATGAGTCAGCTCCATGATGCGGCCTGTCAATCAATCCAGTAGACGTGTCAGCAATTGACCAATCCGAAGCATGGAGGCTGCACAGCTGCAGAAAGAAAAGCTTTGCAGAGAGTGGTGAAGGCTACACAGAAGTCTATCGGAGTCAGTCTCCCCACCATTACAGACATCTAGACCTCTAGATGCAGGAAGAGAGCCACCTGCATCATGAAGGACCCCACTCACCCAGCACACACACTTTTTGTCCCGCTCCCCTCAGGAAGGAGGTTATGGAGCATTAAGTGTAGAACCACTAGACTGAGGAACAGCTTCTACCCTGAGGCTGTTAGACTCATGAATCTATAACCAGAATAATCACTGTGGAAGAAAAAAAAATCACATCATGTTGCTGCTGATCTGTTTCATGTTGCTGCTGATCTGTTTCTATGTTGATGTGTTCATGCGTGCTCATCTGCTCACACAGACTCATGCTCATGTTCGTGCTGCTGTTCGACGTAATGTTTTTTATGCTATTAGTGTTTAGTGTATTTTTAGTTGATGTTTTTCTTAGTTCACATCTTAGATGTTATTGTTTTTCTTTTACATTTTATTGTTGGAAGTAACTGGGACCCTTTGTACATAATTTCGCTCCACCGCAATTTCCACGTGGTGCGAATGACAATAAAGTATCTCTGACTCTCTGACTCTGTCTTCTTATTTGTAAAACCAATGCCAAAGTATAATTTAACAAGATGCTCAACATTCTTCATTTTACCACAGTTAAAATGTGGTAAACCCTACTTTTTCATGTCGGAGTTTGGATAATATTACGACTCGGCTTCGAATTGGTCATTTGCTAACACGCCTACTGGATTGATTGACAGGTCGCGTTGCGGATCCGACTCGTGAAAAAAAATCAATAAACGAGAGCTGTAAAAAAAAAAGAAAATCTCATACGACTTTATCCTCATAAATTTATGGCTTTTATTTTTTTTCTTAGTGTGGCAATGTAATTTTTTATTAATTTTTTTAGCGTGGCCCTAAAGCTCCGACGTACTGAGCCGCCCAGTCTGCCCAGTGTCACATTTTTGTTGTTGTTGCTTTGTTTTTTTCTTTCCCGCTGTTTCTTCAGAATGACTTGTTTCATGTTAGCTGGGCTAACAGATGACAGTTTGTCACAGTAAACTGTCGTCCGTTCGTAGGTGAAAGAGATTATGTAAATTCAGAGGAAATTCTGTTTAAGATTATTTTTTTGCGGCTGCTTCTTTAAAAAAACACACAACTTGCAGGGTGTTGGTGAAAGACTTTATTAGTCACAGGTGCTAAGTTTAGAAGTCTTGTGTGAATGGCATCTGCTGAACAACATAAAAAGACTCACATTAGGGATCAAAAAGCATACTTTAAAAGTTTGATTCTGTTTTTTAAACTGTGTCTGGGTGAGTGCTGAAAACCTGAAAAAGAGTCATATCTGCTTTATTTATTTTCGATGTGCGTTTGTGTTTCAGTGGACCTGTTCGAGATCAGGGAAATCCGTCCGGGCCGAAACTCCAAGGACTTTGAGCGCTTTAAAGACGGGAAGGACAGGCACGATGAGAACACCTGCTTCACCATTTTCTACGGCTCCCAGTTCGTCCTGAACACCCTGAGTCTCGGAGGTGAAGAGCTTATTTACTGATATTTAGAGACGCATGTTTGAAACAGAACGAAATAATTTAGCTTTCATTAATTTCCATTTGAGTACAAAGGCAGATCCACAAATGATGGACGTTCTGTAAAATCCAAATAAAACCAGAATACTCTTCCACTGTGAAGCTGTGCTGTTAATGGTTACAATTTAACATTGTCTTGCTGAAATATGCACATCCTTCCCTGAAAATAAAAATGCCTGTTTTTGTAAACTTTCCAGCTGATTCTGTTGAGGAGGCGCAGAAATGGTTGACAGGACTCGACCTGCTGTGGACAGAAACTTTGGCAGCTCCAACTCCAGTTCTTATTGAAAGGTTTGCTCCTTTAAATCTCAACTTTGGTCTAAAGCGTAACATTTTTACACGCCCGTCCGAAAACGGGAAGGATTATGGTTGATATCAATAGGTAAGTTCTTCACATCTGATAGTTCTTAGATGTCCTTTAATTGAACTGTCTGTCTTCACACCCCGGATGATGTCATCAGTGACTTTGACCCTTCACCCCATCACAGTCATGTATGAACTTAACAGACTCATATATTCAGGATTGTTCTGTGAGGAAATTCATACTCAGTGCTCACCGGTGGGTGTATTTGTACCACTGATGGTATTCTTGTTGGTTAAGAAATCTCATCTGTTACAGTGTGAAGATTTAATGCTCATATAGCACAAATATAACTTTAATTCTTAGTAAAGTAGCTTAAAAACAAGTTGTTGTTTTTTTGTGGGAGCTTTCTTTCAAAGATGTTAGTTGACCTCAACTCATTCCTCAAACACACTCACACACACATATATTCATAAATTTATTTCCAAATTGATCCAATATCTGTTGTCTGCGTGCCGTTTCTGCAGCTGGCTGAGGAAGCAGATGTATTCTGTCAATCAGACCAAGAAAAACACGTAAGTACACCTAAATACTTTCTGTTTACTTCCTTAACCTTTATTTATTGTACTTTTTGCATCACCGGTCACATTCAGACGTGTTCATTTAAACTGGTTGTTTAAGCAAAGTTGTTTTTGATTAAAAAAAGTTTACTTAGACATACATACAATATATGTAATGTACGCAAGTACATTTACTCAAGAACTGTCTTAAAGTACAATTTTATTTCTTACAATCAAATTATTTCTTGCTTTACAAGTTTCAGTTGTTTACACATGGGTTATAAATCCCTTTTCTTAACTAATCAAACATTAGTACTATAGAAAAAAAACACCTTTTTTCTTTAAATTATTTTTACAGTCCCCTCCAAAATACATAGAACAGTAAATCATTTTTTTGTTGTTGCTGCTGTACAAAAAAAATTGGGTTTGACCAAAAAAAAAAAAAAGAGAGAGAAAGAAACGACAACTGTAAGGCTAAATTAAAAAATGTTAGGTTTTTACATCTATATGACTCATGTTCATGTTTGTGCTGATGTTCAATGTTTTATGTTATGAGTGCTTAGTGTATATTTAGTTGATGTTTTTCTTAGTTCATATCTTAGATGTTATTACTGTTTTTCTTAGACATTTTATTGTTGGATGTAACTGGGACCCCGTGTACATAATTTCGCTCCACCACATGTACCACATGAGGTGCGAATGACAATAAAGAAACTCTGACTCTGACTCTGACTCTGACTCTGATCTATATATTTGGTTGCTTGTCTATAGATTCCTGGAAAAAATGAAAAGTTCATCAGAAAATAATAAATGTTAGACTGAAATTCATTTCTGCACGCATGGTGTTTGTTTTTCTAAGAATAAATCCCAGAATACACAAAACTAAATCAATTCGTTATTTGAAAATACTACTTTTATGGTTTCTGTTTAAAGTTTTGCAACTACTGTAAATGTCAAGTTTTCAGACTTTATTCCTTTTTATTTTAAGTTTTAATATTCCTAAACTTTACTTTGAGTCCAGTACAGATGCATGTATTTACCTGGAAACAAAATATTAAATATTGATCTATTGTCTCATTTTTAACATTTTGTTTGCAGCAAATTAAAGAATAAAAATTTGCTGATTTATTTAGTTTACACTAATTTATTTACAGGGTGCTGCTTTTTTTAAATGAAAAAAGTAATCTGGTACTAAATAGTGTATATTAATGTATATTATTATTACTTATTAGTATTTATAATACACGTGTAAAATAATGTAGATATATCGGTGTCTCTTTTGTCCTCCACAGCCTCTCTGTGAAGGAGCTGAAGTCTCTGCTTCCTACGATTAACTATAAATCCCCCAACTCTCGGGTGCTCAAAGACAAACTACAGGTGATTTTATTTTATTTTTTACATTTCCTGTCCTGAAGACAGTTTTAGAAACAGACTCTGTGGTTAAACCTGCTCAGCTGTGCACGACGATCACTTGCAAACTGCATTAACGCTGTCAACATTGAATTTTCTACATTTATTCCATGATTTTTTTTCTGTTCTGCTTTTACAGGAAGTTGGAGTAAAGAAGGACTGGCTGGATTTTGCACAGTTTCATAAGTTTTACAACATGATCATGTTCGAACAGAACGAGGTCAGTCCGAATGTTCGTTTATGCACGTGTAAACATTTTATCGTGCTCGTGCAGCATTTTCCTTAATATTGTTATTGTTTTTAAAATTCAGATCCTTGATGAATTCAAGAAGGAATCCTGTTCTTTTATTCTGGGGTGAGGCCGTGTTTTCTCATTATTTAATGCATGAGCGTCACATAAATGCAGATTGATAATGGTGTTCTTCCTACAGAAACACGGATAAATTAGACGCCTCAGCTGTTCTGCTGCATGATTTTCAACGATTTCTTCTTTACGATCAACAGGTAAATAAAAAACACAAGAGTTTATAAATCAGCACAGTGGTGTTTAAGATTTGACATTTATGCTATTTTCCTGTTTTATTCAATTTAATTTATTTACAATGTAACTATTTTTGCATACTTTAATTTTTAGCAATTTGCTTCTTGAAACTTTAAAACAACTTTTTCCTGTTTAAGCTTTTAGCCAGACTTTTGTTACATTAAGCTTTTAGTTAGCGTTTTGCTACGTTTAGTTCTTTTTGCTTTCAGCTAACCTTTTGCTTCTTTTAGCTTTTAGCTAGCATTCTGGGTTTTTAGCTTTTAAGAATCCAGATTCAGCTTCTTCAGCTTATTTCAGCCAGATCATACAACGCTCAGGGCTCACTTCATTTAGCAGAAAACGCAATTTCTTCAGTTTTATTTTGTATTTATTAAAGAACAAATTTATTAGACGTAAAAATGAGGCAAAATGTTTATGACTATAAGTTCTGAGTCTACAAAATTACAAAATACTTAATCTTAATTTTTAAGTGCACAATTGGAAAAGATACAAGGAAATAAAATGAAATAAATACTTAAAGGTCACTGAATATTATAAAGGAACCTACAAAATTATAACTTTCTGTAATTATATCACTTCAAAACATAAAACTATTCACAAATAAATGTTTTGCAAATCTATCTGAAATCCATAAATTATTCTAATTGGCTGTTGCATCATTCGTCATTGTGGAGATTATTGTAGAGGAGGAACCATTCACTTAAACATCATTATTAGCTTTCACGCTAGACTCAACATATAATTCAAAAAGGAGCTTTCAATACATTCTTCTTATATTCTGAAGCAAAATAATGCTGGTTTATTTAATTACAGCTATTAATTACATGATAATGATGTGTATTGTTTTACTTTAGGAACCCTGGGCTACGGATCTGAATCACGTCAGAGAACTGATGACCATATTTATTGACGACACCATGAGAAAAACCAACGATCCTGAGTTCACCGTCAGCGAGGTATTTGCCCACCGTGTTTGGGTTTGACGTCAACCCAGACAGTTTCTTATTTCAGCGTTAAGTTCAGAATGTAAGACGGGATTCCCTTCAGCGCCGTGTGTTTTATTCCTAATATTGAGCTCATTTTAACAAAAAAAAAAAAGTTTCTAATTCTGTGAGGCACAAATCGTCCAGTTCTTTGAATGCCAGATTGGGAAAAGTGAGGGTGCTGCGGGTGCTGCAGCACCCTCAGTTAGGAAATGCCTATACAAACACTTTTTTTTTTTTTTTTTATGAATAAAAACTGGATTCATCGGTACTCCACAAGTGTTATATTTTATTGACAGAAAACAGACTTCTGCCATTCCAGGGGTGAAACGTTGTGTTTTATGTTCCAGTTCCTCAGCTTCCTGTTCTCCAAGGAGAACTCTGTTTGGGACGAGAAGTTCTCAGAGATCAACAATCTGGACATGAACAACCCGTTGTCTCATTACTGGATCAGCTCCTCACACAACACGTCAGTTTATCACCACACAAAACACACATTTTATTAAAAGAACAACTGAATGACTTCGGAACAAGTTGTTGTTTGTGGTCAGTTAAGTTCTGTTTATTCACTACTTGTTTGTTTTTGTTGGTGTATATTTGTTTACAGCCTGTATGTTCAATTAAATATTATATCTGCCACAATTATGTCTTTATCGGTAGCAATTTTTGTGTCTGCTTGGTGCTTTTTGTCATATTATTTTTGTTATTTTTATAGTTTTATAATTGTTTTGTGTCTCTTTTTTTTTAATAAATAATTTTTAGGATTTCATTACATCTGTTTGTGGTCGCTATACATGTTTGCTGGAAACTGTTTTTATTTAAAATGACTCAGTGTTACAAATCTTTATCAAAATGCTTCCAAAAATACAGAACTATAATAATTAATTAATTAAAATAGTATGTTGGCTGTATGCTTTTGTCAATATGCTTATGATTATTGGTTTGTTGGTAAAGTTTGCACGTTTCTGTCCAGAAACTATTGTGTTAGATTCTTTCTGGAAAAATGTTCTCATATAGTCAAATATCTTAACGTATTGTCTTTTACGTTTTGTTGTTTTAAACAGCTACCTGACAGGTGATCAGCTTCGCAGTGAGTCGTCCACCGAGGCCTACGTTCGCAGTTTACGTCAGGGATGTCGATGTGTTGAACGTGAGTTCAAAACTAATCTGTCTATTTAATACACTTCAGTCATGAGTCACTTTAAATTTTATTTGTCCAGTTATCGGTCCTTAGTGTGTTGTTGTTTTCTTTTGGGGCTGTGTAAAACAGTGGACTGCTGGGAGGGCCCCGGAGAGCCAATCATCTATCACGGCAGGACCAGAACGACCAAGATTAAGTTTGAGGATGTGGTCAAAGCCATCAATGAGCACGCTTTCATCTCCTCAGAGTGAGAAAGACGACAAACATCCGCCAAACTCACAGATTGTAACACAGATTGTGTCTACTTAGGACTTTGAGATGATTCTTCTGAGAATTTAGTTTTTACTTGTATTTTTCACCAGACATGGTCTGTCGTATTCTTATTTTGTCAATTATTTGTTGTCTTCTTGAAGTCGTTTTGTGACTTTTTATGGTCATTATGTAACTATTTACAGCCATTTTGTATCTTTTTACTTGTTTGTCTGTAGTGTTAGCAAAACATCTCATAAAACACTGGACAGATTTTATTAAAACTCATAGAAACGAACCATTAGACATACATTTACTCCCTTTTAACTTCTGGAGTCAAGCCCATTCAATATGGCTGCCACAGCTAAGCCACTTTACCAAACACAAGAACGGCTCGAACTCACTCAGTTTTACATAAATTGAGCTTAAATTTGAGGTGGTAGTAGCTAAGAGTCATTCCCAATACTTAAATGTAACACCTCACAATATTGAATGAGATTTTTTTTGAATAACTTAATTTTCAAAATTTGGTTAAAGTGGCTACAAAGGCTGCGGGTGACATGCGTTTCCTCTAAATGCGAGGCCTCCATTTATTGTGTTTGTTGTATGGATGTTTGCTTTTTTCCTTACATTTATTTCCTGTCTAACTGTTGTGGTGTGTCAAATTGTCTGCATTATTGTTAGCAACCATAAGATTAACAGCTGTCGTTCCATCTTCAGTTTGCTGAATGAAAAACGCGTGTGATGATGTAAACACCCAGTTGTCCTGCGTTTTAGATTTCCTGTAATCCTGTCCATAGAGGAACACTGTCCTCTGGAGCAGCAGCGTCAGATGGCGCGGATCTTCAAAGAAGTGTTTGGAGACAAACTCCTGACTGAACCAGTGGAGCAAATGGCCGAACAGCTGCCCTCGCCCACGCAGCTAAAGGGAAAGATCATACTCAAGGTACTCTGTGCACCTGAACACACAGATGAGGTGGTAGAAGCCGTTTAATCACTCAGAAGTGACGAGTTAAATTTTGTCCACGAGCAGCACAAGAAGCTGAATGTGGAGGGCGGAACAGAGGCGAGCAAAGATGGAAGGAAGGGTCTGAAGCAAGGAGACCTGGAGATCTGGGACCCTGTGGACCAGGTACTAACAACCAGCACATGCATGCAGCAATAATGACCATTACCTGTAAACAGGTGAACATTAGATTAGTAGATTAATGGTGGGAGTGGCAGCACGGTGGTGCAACTGGTAGAGCTGCTGCCTATCAGCGAGCAGGTCCTTGGTTCAAACCCCGGTCCAGGGGCCTTTCTGGGTGGAGTTTGCATGTTCTCTCCGTGCATGAGTGGGTTTTCTACGGGTACTCCGGTTTCCTTACACAGACCAAAAACATGCATGTTAGGCTGATTGGTGACTCTAAATTGTCCCTAGGTGTGAGTGAGAGAGTGAATGGTTGTTTGTCTCGTTTGTCTCTATGTGTCCCTGTGATGGACTTGCGACCCATCCAGGGTGTACCCTGCCCCTCGCACAGTGATTGCTGGACATGGGCACCAGCGACCCCCATGACCCAAAATGGAATAAGCGAGTAAAGATAATGGATGGATGGTGGGAGTGCAGATTTTTTAAAATTTTCCATACAGTTCTTTGCAATCTAACTACTCCTGCGTACTTTGTGTTCCTTCATAAATCAAAATGTTCAGTTAATTCAAGAGTTAGATACTATAATGTACATTTTTTTGTCATTTTGGTACTTTTCAAAATATTTACTTTTACAAACAGATATTTTCCTCATAGAAACACATTCAGATCCCTTCAGATCTTTCAAAAACTTTCTTCTCTTTTCCTGTTTCAGCAGTTTAGCTATTTTTGTTTTCTTATGCTGTTTTTATTGTTTACATAGCCTTTTGCTCCATTTAGCTTCTAGCTAGATAGTTAGATAAAATTTTAGCTATTTTTAGGTTTTAGCCAGTCTTTTGCTACTTTTAGTTTTTAGCTAGTGTTTTGCTGTTTTTAACATATAGTTAGTTTTTTGTTTAGTTTTTTCATTCAGTGGAAATTCCAGGATGTAACAAAAGTTAGGTTTCCCTGGAAAGCCACCTGTGATGACAGCCTGTTTTTCATGCACATTAAATCGACTGTCTGTTTTTATCAGCGGTGGAACAAGCACTACTGTGTGATCTCTGATGACAAGCTGTACTATGCCGAGGAGTACGAGGAAGAAGAGGAAGATCCCAGGAAGGTACGAAGCCCCGTTCAAAACACAGTTTCATTATTGTCAAACTTCAAAAAGTAAACATCAGTGGGTGAAACATTTTGCATATTTAAAAGTGTGTTTTCTCTGTTGGTCAATCAGTCATCAGCACTGACGTCTTTGTTCTTAACTCATAAATGTACGTTTGTTTTGGTTCTCAGTACCAAGACTTGCACTGCACAGAGCCGTGGTTTCATGGTCACATACAGGACGGCCGGCTGATGGCTGAGAGACTGATCCAGAACTACTGTGCAGAAACTGGAGGACAAAATGGCACCTTCTTGGTTCGAAACAGTGATAGAGTTGCCAATGACTACACCCTCTCGTTTTGGTATCTCTTTTTTTGTGTGTATTTGTGGTTTATGTGCAGTACAATGCGCTGCAGACAGATGTGACTCGGGTTGCATAAATTCACCTGCTGTCCGTGTGTCCTTCAGGCGCAATGGGAGAGTCCAGCACTGTCGTATTCGCTCCAGTTCAGAAGGAGGCTACAATTTCTTCTACCTGACACCAAACCTGCATTTTTCCAGCATGTACTCTCTGATCCAACACTACAGAGAAACACCACTGCGCTGTCAGGACTTTGAACTGCGCCTCACTGAAGCTGTTCCAAAACAAGACCCTCATCTGCAGGAAGGGTTCGTCCCACAGCACCCACAAATCTCAGAAACACAAAAATTACAGAAACAAACAGCATTTTCTGGACAATGCAGTGTGGATGCTGAAGGACAGCTTAAATCTGATAAAGAAGCTAAAACTAAAGTGTTAAAAACACTAAAAGCAAAAAGAAACAGGGTGATATTTAACACGTACAGAACAATAGCTAAAAAGTAAGAAGGTAGGTACGGTACGTAAAAGCCCAAAAGTGCAAAAGGTAAGCTAAAAGTAGCAAAAGGCTAACTAAATACTCAAAGTAGGATAAGGCTAGATAAAATTTAAAAGAAGCAAAAGGCTAGTTAAAAACTAAAGTATGACAAGGCTAGCTAAAAGTGGCAAACAATCAGCAAATAGTAGCGAAATGCTAGCTAAAAGTAGAAAAAGATTAGCTAAAAGTAAGCTAAAAAGAGCAAAATATTAACTAAGCGTAGCAAAGGGTTAGTTAAAAGTAGAAAAAGGTTAAGTAAAATTATCAAAAGATTATCTAAAAGTTGTTAAGTAAATGTAACAAAGAAGGGTTAGCTAAAAGTAGTAAAGCACTACCTAAACAAATCAAATTTAATTGAAAAAATGATAGTGGCAAAGCATAACTGACGTATACTAAAGAAGCTCAAATAGTAAAATAATAGCTATAAGTATCAAAAGGCTAGCTAGAAACTGAGAGTAACAAAACTAGGACACTGTTGCAAAATGCTAGCTAAGAGCTATAAATGGCTTAATAGTGTTTAGAAAAAGTTCAATATTTTAAAAAGTATACAAAAAAACAAAAATCAGACCACCCGTCACCTGAATGAGTCTAACGTTTTGATATTTAATTGGCTACAATAGCACAAAGATGCAAAAATAATCAAATGTTTGTGTTTGCATTTAATGCATCATGTTTCAGTTCTATAAAGAAAACAAATATATCTGTATTTTTAAAGATTTGTGTGCTGCTTTTATTTTAGGGGGGTGATTATGACTGATATGACTGACATGATTATGATTTCATCTCTTTTTTAATACCACACTTCTTTCAATCAGTCACATGTCATTTTCACTTTCACTGTCACAATTTTACTTTCATAAATCAACAGACGAGTCAGATCGCCTTCCACTTTTCTGTTCACTGTTTAATACACAAATGTAAAACCAAAGTTGTTTTTTTAGCTTGCTGCCATTCTACTGAGCAAATCCTACTTTTTCATAATCTACCACTCACAGATGACATATGTCATGACGTATGTTCTTGTTTGTTCTTTGCAGGTGGTTCTACAGTAATCTGAGCAGAGGGCAAGCCGAGGATTACCTGCTCAGGATTCCACGAGATGGAGCGTTCCTCATCCGACAGCGAGAAGGTGAACCAGACTCCTTCGCCATCACGTTCAGGTAAAACGAGGAAGGAAATTCAAGAAACTCCTGGGTTCTCAATGAAACAAGTGGTACAATTCACACATAAGATCTGGTGTCATGCTTCGTTTTTCTTTTTTGAGCTTTTGACAATGTCTTTCAGTGATAACAGTACTTCCTACAGGCTGACTGATTTGAGTAGTTTAGTTTAGTTTTATTTAAACCTTTAGTTTCTGTTAACTACCAAGCACAGTCCTGTTTTTATCCAGACTGCCAAGAAGGTTGGAGCTCACTTTGGCCAAAACCTGTAGCATGCAAACTTTTAACTAAGACACGTTTTTAAGCAGGATCAAATTTTCTTTTGATCATTTTTGTTGTAAAATAAAGCCCAACAGTCAGTTGCAATTACAAATCACAGCAGTCTTACTTTAAATTTTAACTTCAACCTAGTTTTGAAAAACACCATTTAGGTAAAAAAAAAAACAAAAAAAAACATTAAAACAAGGTTTCCGTGTGGACAGCAAGCTGAAACGATTAAATGAAAAAAACTTTGTGTATTCACACAAGCTTATTAAAGTTTTATTTCAGAATTTTAAAAACTTTCTTACTGTTCCAAAACACAACCTATTAAATTGTAATACTTTTTGGGAAGTAATATAATTTCAAACATCTTCAACTTAAAGTTTTGGCATTTCTTTTCCAAATGTTTGACACCACCCACGCTAATTAGACAATTATGTCAACAAGCTAAAACAAAACATTTTTTACCACATCTTGCTGATTTTATCTAACCAATATAACATTTAATGTGTAATCTTGTTGAAAATTTAGTTATTTTTTTTAATTTGCCTGATCTGTGTGTTTTATATTGTTCTCTCTGTCCTTCAGAGGTGATGGTAAAGTAAAACACTGCCGGATCCAGAAAGAGGGAAACGTGTACCTACTGGGCACCACTACAGAGTTTGAGAGTCTCGTGGAGCTGGTGAACTACTTCAGGAAGAAGCCGTTGTATCGCAAAATCAAGCTACGTTACCCGGTCACGCCTGAGCTGGTTGAACGCTTCAGCCATGTGAGTTTCTGTGAGAATACCAGAGAAAATATTCAAAACTATGAGGATCTGAGAATGCTTACATTGCCAAAATTCATGAAATTGTTGCTTATCAGATCTGTTACCGTGTTATTACATTCTATCCTTTGCAAATATCTGTATAATCCAAGCTAAAAAGCATGTGATTCTTCAAATTTCTTGGCATGCTCACCTTCAGGCCTAACGATGGACTTTTCCTCACAGCATGAAAACAGCGCTGACATATATGCAAAGACGTACGTGGAACCCAATGAGATCGAGGCCTCACTGGTGCGTAGCTCTTCGTTTGCTTTGGTCATCTGTTTGTTTTCTCCAAACCTGACATTCATGCTTGCATCTCCTTCAGCCCCAAAATACAGTTAAGGCTCTATACAGCTACCAGGCGACGAGACCAGATGAGCTCAGCTTCACCAAAGGCGCGCTGATCCACAACGTGTCCAAGGAGAACGACGGATGGTGAGTTCACACGTGGCATCGCTTTGGAATCTGGCATTGGGAATAAAAAGGCAGTGATCTGAGGCCTCCTGATCCTTTTGACCCATTTGGACTGTTTCGTCACAAACAGTTCTCATTCTGCACATGCCAGGTGGAAAGGCGACTATGGAGGAAAGATACAAAAGTTTTTTCCTGCAAACTACATAGAGGAAGTCTTCAACAGCACCCAGCCAGACACTAAAGCACAGGTGGAGATCAGAGCTCAGGCTTCAGCCACACTGACGGTCAAAGCAGCAGCAACTGTGTCTAAATGATGTGTGTGCGCTTCATCTTTAAACAGGACCTGGAAGACAACCCACTTGGAGAACTCTGTAAGGGTATTGTGGACATCTCTAAGTGCAACATTCAGACCAGTGAGTTTTCATTCACACTGCTGTTTTTTTTTATTTTATTTTCAAATATTTCCCTTATAGAAATACATTAAGAGTGCATTTTTTTTAAACTGTTCTTTTTCTGATTTGCTTCATCAAACCGGCTCTGTTCTTGTCTTCATTCTGATGTTAGTTTTTAGCTGCTGTTCTGCTACTTTTAGCAAATTCTTTTTGTTATTTTTAGCCTTTTTGCAACTTTTAGCTACTGATCTTATACTTTTAGCTTTTAGCCAGCCTTTTGCTACGTTTAAAACTTATTAATAAACGAAAAATGTTTGAAAGTGCAGAATTGAAGCAGAAAGTGAAAAGCTTCTTATATAGTTTTGGATGTTTTTACTGGTGTTGTATGTCATTGAGTGTTTATAGATCCATTTTCATCCCGCTGTGCTTCTGTTTGTCCTTTATTTGTAGTGAAAAATGGTAAAAACGGGAAGACCCATGTGTTGGTCCTACAGAACAAGGAGCACGATGACATGGCGTTCGATCTGGCCACAAACTCTCTGGAGGAGCTGTTTGATTGGTACCAGGTGACCTGGGACATAACTCAGAGAGAAGCAAGCAAACAATACAAAAAGAAACAAGAGGTGAGTTACTCCAGCTCATTAAACATTTTATGTACAGGAACCACAACCAACATTACAAATATGATAAATTCGAAGGCACAAACATCAGAAACAGTGTGGCTACAAGGAGACAAAAATCTGTTAATTAGACACAATGGCTACATAAACATAGCACAAAAGTAAGGAAATGTGTGTTTGGTCGATTATTTTCTTGTTGTGACAACACTTCTGGGCAGTAAATCTTATAACATTGAGAACCCTGTTTATTTCCCCTTGAATGAAGCAAAATTTGTTTGGAAAGTGTGCCGATGAACACCAAATTTTCTCCGTCAAACAGCTTATTCTGCTATGAAATCTTGTTTTCAGCTGCTGGTACCCAGGTGCTAACAATCAGGATTGGTGCTTGATTGTCAGCAACTAGTGTTTATCAGAGGCTATACCTCCAGAATGTAGGAGTGGATGGAATGGCCTGCCTGCAGTCCTGGCCTCCACATTACTGAACACCTGAAGGATCAGCTTAGGCATGCTGAACGTTCCAGAGTGACCAACACAACCTTATTGCTTGTCAAAAGACAAAAGCTGATTAAAGAACAAGATGTCATTCAACAGAAGTGTTTGATCAAGCTGGTGAGCAGCATAAGGAGGATGTTCCAAGCTGTTTTGGCTGTGTATGGTTCTTCCACGCCCTGTGATGGACTTGCGACCTGTCCAGGGTGTACCCCGCCCCTCGCACAGTGATTGCTGGACATGGGCACCAGCGACCCCCGTGACCCAAAATGGAATAAGCGGGTAAAGATAATGGATGGATGGATGGTTCTTCCACATGCTACTGAGGCCCCAGTTTGTTAAATAAACAAGCTGTAAAATAGCCAAAATGTTATGTTTCTTTAGACTTCAATTGTCTAATCCATTAAACACTAAACAAGATTTCGTAGCAGAACAATCTGGCATTAGCGGAGAAGATTTGACAAATAATTCATGAACGCTATCCGCATATTTAGCTCTGCTGCTCAACCGGCAAATGCATTTTCCTAACAAATGTGGCAACATTTAAGGAGAAATAAACAGGTTTTCCAACAGTATAGTGTTTTTTGCCAAGGAACATCGTTACAAGATAGAAATAATTAACTAAACACAAATATCCTAATGTTTTGTGCTTAGTTTAGTTACCCCAAAATATCACACAAGTATCAGTATCAAAACCAGAACATACAGTATCACTAGACAATGACAGAGGTACACAAAGAGAAAATACATTTTAAAAATGTCAAAAACTCCTCTACAAAGAAGCTCAAAATCCTGAAAAGACTACTACAAAGAATCCCCTGCAAACAGAAGAAACAAAATGATTGCAAGAAAACAAAATAGACAAAAAATCAACACCATTTTAAACAACGACAAAGTGACTTCAGTGACGAGTACTAAAATAATATACAATTTATTACAAAACTACTTAAGAGAGACGCAAAGTAAAGAACTGTACAAAAGGACTGCAGTGAAAAATAAACATGACGAGGCGTAAAACTTTGCTTTTATTTTTCTTTCAGAGGGATTTTTCTGTGTGTACGATGATCTTGGTTCTCTTAAACGTTTTCAGAAGTTAAAGACAGATGAAGGTCTTTGTGTGTCAGTCAGCTCACTGGGTGCTTTGACACTTTACACTCAGCCAATTTCTGTGGAATGCATTAAATGCCACTGAACCACACAAGAATGTTTTCACCGGTGGTCTCTTAACATGAGTGTACAAACAGGAAGTGGCTGCTTTTCTGTCCCAACGCAGATGAAACAGCAGGAGGAAGTGGAGAAGAAGGCAGAGGTTGCCATGGAGATGTCGGACCTGGTGGTCTACTGTCAGCCACGCAGCAAGGAGAAGGACCGCTTTGGTAAACACACACTTTACAAACTGTACACAAAGTGACACAGCGGAGGTTCTTTTCCTACATGGGTTGTGTAATTTATTTAGTTTTAGTTATTTTATCCTTCAAAATCGGAATCTTTCTGATTGAAACATAAATCTCTGAAGCTGTGGTTATGAAATAAATCATATGCGTAAATCAGTATGACCGCAACATTAAAACCACATGCCTGATGTTGTGTAGGTGTAGCTCGCAAGAAAGTGGCAGCAGTCATCTTCCAAGCTGGGCCCGGACCTCGCTGTGGGTCAAAACTGTTAAAAGACTCTTATTCATAAAAATAAAAGCAGTAGTTATCATTGGATCCAACAGTAAAAGGATTGTTGGGTCTGTGTTTGCGTAATTCCTCCATCCATCCATTATCCTTACCTGCTTCTTCCTTTTCGGGTCACTGGTGCCCATATCCAGCAGTCACTGTGCGAGAGGTGGGGGACATCCTGGACAGGTCTCCAGTCCATCACAAGGACACATAGAGACAAACAACCATTCACTCTCTCACTCACACCTAGAGACAATTACCAATCAGCCTTACATGAATGTTTTTTTGTCTGTGGGAGGAAACTGGAGTACCCAGAGAAAACCCACACATCCACGGAGAGAACATGCAAACTCCACCCAGAAAGGTCCCCGGCCGGGATTCAATCCAGTGACCTTCTCACTACCAACAGTACCACCCCTGTTTGCATAATGCCTTTGTTAATTTGTATAAATGTTGATTCAGATTTGCACTATTGTTCTCATACTTACAGTTTTTTCCCATACATCTTTTGCATTAAAGCTACTTTCACATTAGCTACTTTGTTCTATTTTAATCATTCTTAAATCAGAACCTTTAACTTTTATCGGGAATAGTGAGCTAATAGTTTTAGCATTTACAATGTTTATACTCTGAAATATTCAAGCCACTGTAGCTCAGTGGTCAGTGTCTCAGTCTCAGTCCAAGGTTGTGTCAGGAAGAACATCTGGCGTAAAACCATTGCCAAATCGTTCATGCAAGAAAGGAAAGCAACAACATACTCTGAAATGTTTAACTTTATTTACAAAAAATGTATTTTAAACACACTGAGATTTCTTTGAACACTCTCCGAAACACTGTTCACTGAAATCCATTTAAACACATTTGCTCTATTTTGTCTTTTTAATTCTACTTTTAGCTGCTGTCTTGTGAATTGATTCTTTTAGCTACAGTTTACACTGAATTTTTGCAGAAAATTAAATTCCTCTTGTTGGCTTATTAGCAATATCTGTATACATTAAACAGAAACATTTGTGATGAGAATAATAATAATATGTATTCTCCACTGATTGTGTTTAAGAAGCTGAAAAGTTTGAAAGTGTTTGGGTGTAATCTTAACAAAGCATCTGTATTAATGCTGATCAAAGGCTCCTCGGCGCCGTAAAGAGATGATCAGGGAAGATGACATTATAGTTTTTATGTGTGGTGTCTCGTCTCTCATTTTATTTTTTCTGACTCATCAAGCAGCCAGATGTTGCCACATGCAACCACCCTGATCTAAAATAACAAATAAAAACCTGCAGGCGCGTCACTAAACCTTCTTTCATTCAGGACACAGTGTGTTTGTCTGCATTTGGCAACATTGCAGGTGGAAAAGTGGCCATTGACATCCCAGATACACAAGTTCAAAAGCATTAATAAAAGCAAAACCAATTAAAAACTGTTACAAAATGAAACCTAAAGAGCTGAAGACACTAGGATATCTTCTGATAGCTTATTTGTAAGGCGTTAAAGATAAATTTGCATGAAGGGAACACTTATACCGCCTTCCCACAGCAACACATCACATATTAAGTAAAAATGGTAATATATTTATTTTCTGCAATAAAAGCAAATGCAGTTTGTTTAAATGATCCTCTCTCAGAATGTTTTGAACTTCTCTAACTGCAAACTGAACATCCAGGCGCAACAAAGGTCACTGTGTGCACATCAGAGTTAAATTTATTGCTGTGATTTGATTTTGTGACCAAATATAGTCATCAAATATATTGTGGGCATAAAACCACGGTAAATAGTGCTTTATATGTATATTTAGTCGTTTGCTACCACGTTAAATCCTAAAATATTTGCTATTTTCTATTTGTGGTTAAGGTAATGAACGCATAAGGGGAAGAGGTGAAGAAGTTACCATCACTTGTATGTAAATCAGACTTTACTGAAGCGTGACGGAAACTGAAGGAGTTCAGATGGCAGAGAGGAAACCTGACAAATTTTACACCTCTGGACTTGTTTTTTCCATCGTAAACAGTTCAGCTGCACGTCTTTAACTGAGTGCCTGTCACTGCGGCAACTTAGTTTTATTCAGCTTGGAGCTACTTTTACTTTTTAATGTCACAATAAGTTGTTGAACAAACAGGTTACAACCAAAACTGGAAGAAAAAACAGCTGAAGACCAGAGCGCTTCTTAAGACCAGACAGTTTCCTGTCTTACTACTGTGCATCCAAACCACAACGGTTTAAACAGAGCTCTGCTTCTGCTGTTAAACGCTACACCTTTATTGTACTGTTAGATGATTTAAGTCCTGAAGAAATCAGTTATCAGATATAAAGTTATATCATTTGGCCTAAGTAAGTAAAGACAGTTTGAAGGAGAGCAATAAAAAGCACCAGTAGTCAAATATGTGATCACGGAGCAACACAAACTGGGCAAAGCTTAAACTAACATCACCTTATTGGCTATGAATTGTCCTTAAACACCAATTTAGTTTCAAATTTAGTCACTTTCAGTGATTTTAAAGCTTTAAGGCCAACAATAAGCAGGAAATAATACATGCAGCTTATCATAAACTGTAAAGGAGTATTTTGCTATTAAATCTTTGTTGTAGTAGTTACAAGTAAAGAAACCCTGCTATCTCAGTTTTTCAGTTTTGTGCACCGGCTGCAGGATTTATTTCTGCCACCAGGCAACATAATCAGTTAGAAACGTCCAGCTAAGACGACGCTTTAAACAGCATTTTAAAAGATAAACTCCCCTCATCTACTTCAAATTAGGCAGCAAAGGTGTTCGGAATGACCATGTGCATCTCAGCTAACTGCTTTTTCTTTTATCTGCAGAGAGGTACACCTACAAAGAGGTCCGCTCCTTCATGGAGAACAAGATACCTGGAAAGCGCCGCACCAGGGACTTCCTGCAGTACAATCGCAAAGCTCTGAGTCGTGTCTACCCTAAAACTCAGCGCATGGAATCCTCCAACTATGACCCCTACCCACTGTGGGCGGTGGGCTGCCACATGGTGGCTCTCAACTTCCAGACTGCAGGTAGGTTCAACTGTTCGGGGTCCACGCAGCACTTCTGCACCCTGTGGGAACAACGCAGAACCAGAGTGATGAGTCTATTCCAGGAAATATCTGAGTCGCCAGCAGAAACATACAGATTTATTAAATGAGCAACTGTCTGTTGACTGACCACCTATGACTTCAAGGAACTCAGACCAAATCAAACGCAGCCAAAGTTTAATCTACAGTGTAGTTCAAATCAGGTTTGTTTAAATGAAAATGATGTTGAAGTCGTTAATACAGAAAAATTCTATATTTAGAGAAGCAAAAGAAAATGTTTGCTTCATCATGTCTTGAGCTAAATGAGCACTTATGAGAAGAAAAATACAAGACGAGAGCGATGGATCAATCAGAGAGATAGATGGGTAATAAAGTGACATATTTCCATCCATCCATTATATACATATATATAGGCAAATTTCTAATTAAAAGAAATTGCTTTCTGCACTTTTGGGGTTCAAAATATTGTAGATTTTTAACCCTAAAAGGAATCGGGGGGAAACTAAAGTGAGATAAATTGTTAAAATGTGAATGTTTTTTGTAGGAAAATATTAAAAATCACAATAACTGAGATAAATAAGTTTATTTAAAGTAGATTCTTAAGAAAATATATGTTTTATCTACTTTATGTAAGCTTCAGACGCTGCGCAGGTTGACATTTAAATTGATGGAAACATTTGAATGAATCAGTAACATGTTTCCTTCTCTCTTCGAAGGAGTTTGATTCATACACTTTTGAATAACGTTTAAATCCTGGTTGTCTGAAGTGTGAAATGAAACTGTGTGTGTGTAGATCAGTGGTTCAGAAACCATACGTTTCCACCCAGATAAATACATGCAGCTGAACAGTGCCCTCTTTAGCCTGAACGGATGTACCGGGTACGTGTTGCAACCAGAGTTCATGCGTTTGGATAGCTACGATCCTTATCAGGAGAAGAAGATGGTCAAGTACATCATTAACGTCAAGGTACTGCAGCCACAAACACACACTCCCTGGTGTTTCTGTCACATCAGGTCGACACAGTGTTTCCTGTCGGCGTGTCGACCCGCAGGGGTGGAGAACTTTATAAAGACAGGTGTGTTGGCTTCTCCACAGGTGATTGCCGCCAGACACCTTCCTAAACTCGGCCGCAGCATCGTCAGCCCATTTGTGGAGATCGAGCTGTGTGGACACACAGAGGAGAAGTTCAAGACCATCGTTTATCGTAAGTGGTTTAGGGAGGAGGGGGCAAGACTGACACTTTCTGAGGACACAGAAGAAGAACTACTGATTGTATTTCCATCCATCCATCATCTTTACCCGCTTCTTCCTTTTGGAGCCATGGGGTCACTGGTGTCAATATCCAGCAATCACTGTGCGAGAGGCAGGGGACACCTTGGACAGGTCTCCAGTCCATCACATGGACACATAGAGACAAATGAGACAAACAATTCACACTCCCTCACACCTATTAGAGTTACCAATCAGCCTAAAATGCATGTTTTTGGTCTGTGGGAGGAAACCAGAGTACCTGGAGAAAACCCACGCATGCACGGAGAGAACATGCAAACTCCACCCAGAATGGCCATCTGGCCGGGGTTTGAGCTGGCGACCTTCTTGCTGAGAGGCGATAAATAACAGCGCCACCGTGCCGCTCCTGATTGTATTTGTGTTGCCAAAAAGAACACAGAAGTGACAAAGTAGTTATACTTAGTGCTTTGTACACTAGACTGTCATGTTTAAATCAGATTTAATTAATGCTGCAAACTAATTGAAGACGTTGCCATCTACAACCCACAGTACCTGTTGGCACATTTGTTTTGTTTTAGTTTAGAAAAGCTGTTGGTGTTGATTTTGCTCTTATATTAGTGAAAACAATATTTTTCAGTTCTGATGCTGGGGCTCATATTTGAGCAAATTCAGCCCAGAAGCAGCTCCTGAACCATCTCCATTTACCTCCCCGTTTATTTGAACAAAAGTGTTTTACAATAAATAAGAAAAAAATCTGCATTTAATTAATTCATCTAGACCAGGGCAGCATTTTGGTACCAGGGAGCAAAATTTAGTTATTTAAAGAAATCAAAAGGATGCAGAATGATTTGGAAAATATTTGCTTTATGACAAATATAAAATAAATGTTCAAGCTTTTTCTAAATAAATAAATAAATAACCTGTTTGGAAGTCTTTAATATTCAGTCTACTTCTGGACACAATAACTTATCAGGCAAAAACAAAAAGTTGTGGTCTATTTATGAAAAGTTTTACTTGTGTTTGTCCAAAATGTTTCATTTAGACTAAGTTTCAATGATAAAATGCAAGTTTTCATCAACTTATTTCAAAGTTGTTGTTTTTTTAAATTAAGGATATTGGGGACCAGGTGGCAATTGATGGCCCTTGAACCATATGTTGACCATGTGTGACAGTCTGGGTTTATTGTCACAGACATAGACAAGTCACAAAACCCCAGCCTTTAAAACCTCAGCATTTTTTTTAAACCAATGCTATTTAAAAAAAAAAATAACTGCATTGTTTATAAAAACAAAACAAACATTTTAGCCGCTGCCTTTCATGCTAACCTCCTAAGCTCGAGATTCCTCTCAGCTTCTGTGTCTCTACACAAAACAAGTCCACTTTCTTTAGAGCAGAAACCAAATTTAGCTTCATGCCTTCACTCAAGTGAAACCAGGTCTGATGTTGTGTAAGACAGAGGTGGGGAGGGAGCCCATTGTGACAACAAATAGGTCTTTCTGGGGTGGGGGAAAGGTTTCCTCACCAATGTGCAGCAACATGTCATTTTAAATATCATGCCTTCTTACTACCAGAAAGAATGAACTGTGATGAAACAAAAAGTTCACATTCATCTTTTATTATCTTTATGTCCGTTGCCCTTAAAGGTAAAGTGCCATTAAAACACAGATGAACGTGTTCAGTAGTATTTAAACAGTGATCATGCAGAAATCACCTTAAAATAATAAAAATACACAAATTATCATGTAAATGATATGAGCCAACAGTTTGCAGCTAAGAGGAACTGAGAGGTCTTTTAAAAATAACCAGCTGTAGCAGCTCTTGTAAATTTAGGGTTATACAAAGTTTCTTTAGGTTTTAAGGACTGCTTGGCTTTTGTTTTTCAATGGTGACTACAGGTGATAATGGTCTGAACCCAGTGTGGAAAGCCCCGGCAGAACCCGTGGAGTTCAGCATCTACGAGCCAGAACTCACCTACCTTCGCTTTGTGGTCAACGAGGAGGACATGTTCTCAGACCCCAACTTCCTGGCTCAGGCCACATTTCCTGTCAAAGGCCTCCGCTCAGGTGGGAAATCACACATGCACGAAACTTAAAGCGTTGCTCATCATGAAACTAAGAATGTTGCGGTAACATTCTGTGTACATCTTTACCACGATTTATCGACATACTGTAAATATTTTTGATGCTGGACAGTTTTTTGTGATATTTTGGTGTGCACAGTGGTCCTTGTACTGCGTATGAGTTGTTTAGTTACTTGTTGCTTCTGCAGGTTATCGCTCTGTCCCTCTAAAGAACGGCTACGGTGAAAACTTGGAGCTGGCCTCTCTGCTGATCCACATCACCGTGCAACAAGCAGGGGTGAGCAAACACACGCCGAGGTGACGTCAGTGTGGAGCGGCGGCCATCCCTGACCCGCTGCTGTTTGTTTCAGAGAGCGGAGGAAGAGCTGTACTCGTCCTCCAGCCAGCTGAAGAAGAAGCAGGCCGAGCAAAGCGAGCCCTTCTTGTACGACACGCACACCAACCTCCAGCGCTCCTCGCAGCCCCGCCCACCCAACCACCTGGTGAGGGAGTCCAGCGAGAGGCACAGGTAACATTAAGAGCTCCGCACTTCCAGTGAGACAGCAAAACGTGCAATAAGCAGTTCCTCTAGTCCAGGGGAGGGCCACATTTATTCCAGAGAGACAAATAAAAATATTTAAAGCAACTGAAGGGCCGCATAGAGAATTGGAAAATAACTTTTCTTTAAGATGTATAGAGTAGTCCCTCCTTCATTGCAGGTATTACGTTCTGGACCCCCACCCCCCCCCCCCCCCCCCCCCCCCGGCAATAAATGAAAAACCACGAAGTAGGAACGCTATATTTATTTTAGTATTTATATATATTTTAAGGCTTTATAAACTCTTCCCACTCTCTTGCAATGTTCTAAACTCTTAAACCTATGTCATTTTAACAACATACATACAGTACTGTATATGTAGCTACTAAATTTTACTCACCAGCTCTGAAGAACAGCAGCTTGGTTCCGGTCCGACTCAGTTCTGTTTTGGCAGACCTGCCCTGCCAGGCCCTCTGGCTAGGGATAGTCCTGGTGGGCTCCAGAGAGAACGCCGCACCTCCAGGTGACGCCTCCCCATTTGGAAGGCCTTGTGTGCCAGCGGGCGGCACTCAGATTCACCGATGAGTCTGGAGGTCCGGTTCTGGTCCGGTTCTGGTCCACTTCTGGTCCACTTCTGGTCAGCTCACTACAACCCTTGAACACAAAAACACTTGAGTGAGCCGGACCTTTGGATGGCCAGCACGGGACCACAAGGTGGTCGAGATTGAGTCCAAATCTGTATATGGGAAGTCCCGGTGGACTCTGGAGAGAAACCCGGACCTCCCGGCGGCGCCTCCCCTGCTCGGAAGACCTCGTGGGCCGACGGACTGCACTCAGATTCACCGATGAGTCTGAAGGTCCAGTTCTGGTCCGGTTCCCAGTCGGTTCCATGTGGCTCTCTGCATCCGCTGGACTTTATGGATTGGATCAAAACATTCCCTCCATTTCAGCAGAAGGCAATGGGGCTTTTGGGTTGAGCACTGTGGGATTCTGGGAAATGTATTTGTTTTGAGTGGCAATGCAGTGTAGGCTTATTGCGAGGAAACTACAAAGTGGCAGCGCCTGTCCGAAGTTTTTTTTTTTCATTAAGTTGTTACTGTTCAGTATCTCGTACTGTCCCAATCACGTGAGTAATATTAAAGTTGACAATCATATGTCTTGTACAATTTATTTTCCCGTGTACAATCTTACTTTGGAAAACTGTGAAAGTCGAACCGCAAAGTAGCGAGGGACTACTGTAATCTGGAAGACTTTTCAGGCTTTTTCTTGTTGTAGCATAGTTGGCGTGCTTGATAAAAACATGTCTCTCCAATACTCTTTAGGATATAAGACATCCTTTTTGTAAACTGGCTTTTTTGACAATGGAGTTCTCCAAAATGTGCAAAAGAATATTAAAAAAATTAAGTCTTGGAGGTTCCGTTTAGTTCAAGAAACACCACGAGCTAAAAATAAGTTTTAGTTTGTTGTAATCCAAAGTTTTTCAATATATTTGTCCAAGATGTTTACGTTAAACTTCCTTAAGATTCATTAATAAAATTATGGTTTTAATCCAGTTATGAAAAGTTGTTTTCGTTTCAGTTAAGTATTTTAGGGGCCACATTGAGATTGTCTAAGGGCCACTTTTGGTCCTTGGGCCACATGCTGCCCACATCATGCTTTTATGATAAATGTTGTTTTCAATGTTTAGCCTGTGTTGTTTTAGTAATTTCAGGGGATTTGTTTTATTCAGGACCTCTTGTTGTTACCATCCTTACCTAACTTTGCTGAATGGAAACATATCCATCAGTTTTATAGACAATAAAAAACAGACATGCATCTTATGACACATCAGGCCAGAAAAGGAGAAGCATGTAAATGTAACACATTTATCATTGGATCTTAGTTCGCAGCACAACAAGACCAACAAAATGTAGCTTAAATGACCCAGACTGTGTTTGTATTTTAACTTTTGTCCTGTGGTTTTATTTCACTTTAGGGTAAAAGAGAAGAAGATAAACAACAGTAAATTTTACTCCTGAGGCCTCACCTGTCCACCTGTCTGAGCGACAGACGTCCAACTGAAGGAGCTGAATTTGTCATCGTCACACCCAAAATGACAACAATCGAATGTTACCTAGAACTATTATTTATTTAAGAATTCAAGAATAGCAACTTAAGGATATAATGTTTTTGCTGGTATTAAAATGTAAAAATAAATAGAAACCCTTTAAGGAAATGTTACTGCCCTTCCAGACAGCCAGCGGCGTCCACCTCTGCTCCATCTTTAATCAAACTGGAGGTATTTATTTTGAGCTAAACCACCGCGGTTACCTGGAACGATCATTTCACTGCAGCACAGTTGTCTGTTCTGCTGCTTCTGTTCAGTTCTCACTTCTGAGATTCATTTCAAGTGAGTGAGACTAGTTTAAGATTTTTTTTGTTTGTCTGTTTCATTTTACCAGAGATATTATTATTATTATTATTATTATTATTTACATTTTTAATGCTGAGAAAAGACTTATTAGAGATTCAGTCCAAGGCTGTGAGAATGTTTCCGCTACTTTAATGAATTTTTTTTAGCTTATTTGTGTCTTTATTATGAAGCAATTTAATAAAGTGTGCTTATACCTCTCAACCATTCGTTCCAATTTGATCTTATTTAATTAAATTTGGCATCAGACTAGTTTTAATTCTGAAAGATGTCCGCTGTTTGACATTATACACACATTACAGTATAGTCATATAGTCACATTATATTATTAATAGTCTTTTTTTGTTTTCAAAGATCATTTAGCTGTGGCGACCATCATCAATTGTATTGGCTCCTAGCATAAATCAATTACAGATAAGATAATACAGATTACAGATAAGTATCTTATAATAAGATAATATATTAAACCAATTACAGATAAGATAATACAGATTACAGATAATTGTTCATTGAAGGATTACTTCCTGACAGTTTCTTTAAAATCTATCCAGTGGTTCATGAGATATTTTGCTAACAGACATGCTTGCAGAGTTAACTCCCAATAGTTAATGCAAGAAATTTTCACAAAGGTTTTGTGTAATCTGTTATCGCTCAGACTGTGGGTTTGGGATTAGCCTCAGCTACTACCACACCAAACTTCAGATCTAAATATGTAAAACTGAGTCTTTTTGTTTCTTTAAGACGGCCACCTTGAATCAGGTTGTCTCCAACAGATGTGGATATGCCTCCAGCAGTTACTTTCTGCATCATGAGCTATTACTTTCTGCATCATGAGCTATTTTGCTGACAGAGAAATAAACATGGTTTTTGACAATAATTAATAAGACTACAGCAGCCACACGCAGGGGGCACCAGTGATTCATTCGTGAGCATTTTTTTTTTTATGTTTTTGATCCTCCTCCCAGCTCTCCAACATGTTAATGAGTTACCCAGGTGAGTGGCTTCTGAGAGCCATATGGGAGGCAACAGGGGAGGCGGGTGAGATAAGGGAGATGATGAAACCCTTCACATGATTGTTGGGGTGTGTGAAAGAAGAAGCCACCATTAGTCACCTGTCGGAGCAGGTGGAAGGACGGATAGATTTCTGAAGTTTCACTGGATTATTTAACACTTTGGACCCTTTTTTCGTCAAGAACATTATTTTTTTCTGCTTTACTTTTACCAAAATTAAAAGACTTGTTGTTGCAGCCAACATAGGGACTCACTCAGTTCAGGTTTTATCTAAAGACTAAAAACTCCTGAATAATTTGTCCCATCAAAGTATTTTATTTTGAGACCAAATCTGGTCTTAAGGCATTTATCTCCGGTTCTGGTCTGTCTAGAACTCATCTTTCAACAGAGCTGTGGGACAATGGCAGACTTTCCATCCAAGGTTACCACAGAAACCAGCTCCCCCCACTCTCAGAGCTCCCAGCAAGGGGGGAACAGCCTCCAAGGACTTGCTGCCAGCATCACAGCCAAGGTGGACGTGTCCTTCCTCCGAAGTGTCCCATCCATCCTCATGCTGGCTGAAATAGTAGGTATCACACCTGCAGAGTCGAGACGGTTCGTCTCATCCTGAGCATTTCATTGCATTGTTGACCTTGTGTTGATTTTGCATAAACCAAACCAGAACCTGCAGCTCTGATGCACACACCTCTGCAAAGTGGAACATTTCACTTCAGCACCTTATTTTGTTTAAAATGTATCACCAGATTTTCCCACTAAGGACATTAAAAAAGGACTTAAATATACAAAAGCCTCTGCAGATTCAACATTTCCCAAAACATCTCCAAAATAAACGTATTAGCTTTTACATGATACTCAGATAGTGGATATTAATAATCAAATGATGCTTTGTGTCGTGTGTGTAGCTCAATCATGTTTTACTCATAAAATGCAGCTCTGATATCTCAGAAGGACCAGGGAGGAGGATCTTTGTCAAAGAGCTGTGAGCTTTAGCAGACAGAGAAACATGCTATATATTTGTATTCCCTCTCTTTTAATTTGGAAATTAAAAAAAGTGACTTTGTGTTAAGAAGCTCCAGTTTGAGCGTCATAAAAGTCACATTAATCAGGACGGATAGTCACTCGAACAGTCAGGAAGTGAAGCTCTGATTTCTAAAAAAGAAACTGATAAGGATTTATTTTGTTTGTTTGTTTACCTTGCTGAAAGGTTGCAGGACAGGAAAGTAGGGAAGTAAGTAAGTAGTATCTGTCAAACCGAACACGTGACTGGCTGAATGGCTGGAAGACCTTTGTCCCCTGGAGGCCCCGGCCCCACCTGATTGCTCTGATCCTCATATTCAGCACACAGGAATGGCTCAGTCTTGAACAACTGAAAGCTCCTTGATCAAATATAGGCGTTTCCACACCTGACTCGCAAATGTTAATCATAAAATCATTAATTTTGTGGAGAAAAGCCTAATCCAGGTCTCTGCAACTTGTGGCTCTGGGGCCATATTCAAATCTCTGGTACCACTGCTGCTTTTTGAAGCTTTGACCAAAACGAACATGAAATTTAAAAACTTTACACGCTTTAAAATTACGCCATTTTACATCAAAGTGGGACACTTAAAGGAGGGCTCACACGGGCCTGCAGAGTTCAGTTGTTTTCATTCTTATAAAAATTGGTTTAAACTATATATTTTTGTCCTTTTATACATGAATGGTAATTTATTTTGTCCTGAAATGTAAAAATATTGTTAAATGTTAAAACTTATTATTTCTTTTTGACCGGAAAACTCCACCTTCAACGAACTGAGAGAGTGGCCCATGGGCCACCTGTTGATAATTACAGTTGTAGCAGTTTTTTTAATTTAGTGAGCAAAGGTGCAGGAATTACTCTATTTTTTTTTTTTTTTTAAATCGAAAAGGTTGCAGACTCCTGGTCTAAGCGCTCCCAGAGACATCCTGCACCACGACATAAAGAACATACCACTTTTCTGCCTTCTCAAATATTTACAGCACCCTTCCATTCCTTTTATTCATATTTATTTCCATCCAGGTGGGTCAAGGGTTTATCCAGTTAACGCCTTGTTTATTAGGCAAAGTTTACACGAGCAAACGATAAATGAAATTGAAATATTTAACTTAAAATCATGAATCTTGATGTTTTCAGTGCAAACAGGGTTTTCCAGCTTGTTTAAAGACAGAAACTTGATTTAGCTCATCTTTAAGCGTTTTAATGGGCGTTAACGTTTTTGCACAAGTGAACGTTGACTTGCGATATTAAAACTTGGTTAGTGAGTGAAACAGGTTCAGGAGGGAGTCACGAGGATCCACAAAGAACTTATCATCTGATCTACACTCTTAAATGTGCATTACATTTTCTTCCACTTACTGTAAATCTAAATCAACACAACAGTCACCAAATGAAGAATAAAGTATGAGGATGAACACAACAAGTCATTTTCTGGTGTTTTATATTTCATTTTTGGAACCGATTAATGAAAGATATATATATAAAACAAAAAAACGCAGATAGATGCGGAAGATTTAAGATAATAAAGCAAAATCTCTTTGCTCACAGTTGATAATGTCCATCACATTATAAATAACAGGTAAATGAAAATAATATATATTAGCATGCTGGTGTAAAGTGCTTTTTGCATCACCAGATCTGTTTAAATCCAACTTTCTTACCAGAGGAAACAACACAGTCAGCAGAATCAGAAAGTTTTTGGCACGTTTTAGTCATTTTATATGTAAAAATGAAATATTTGTTGTGTATTTGTCAACGTACTTTCACATCTGTCCTGCACAAACTTTGTTCCAATCACATTGTTTTGGGCACATTTTTAGGACCAAACATGTTTTGATCCACCACATGACTGCACAAAGCCATCTGCTGTACAGCAACCATTCTCATGTTTCAGTCCTCCAGCTCCTTTTGCAATATTGATTATTGTTATTATTATTCCTGTTAAAAATCCACATGCATAATATAAATGTTATGGTTAGTATTTATATTATTACTCTTTAACATTGTAGTTAAAGCAAGAGAAATGTCCTATTTAGACAAGTGTTTTGTACAGGTCAAATGATGTAACTGTTAATACGTGTGTGGGTGTGTGTGTGTGTGTGTGTGTGGTGGGGGGGGGGGCATCAGATGTGTAAAAAGAGAAACATGACCTCCACGTAAATAATGGATCATCGTTTTATGTCTGTCCTCATGGGACAGAAGCAGAGACATGCAGCATTGTGTTGCTCCTCTGTGTGTTTCTGTCTGAAGCTCTAAGTGACCCTTTGGTTTAAGTCACACAGACGTATGCTGCAATACGACAAAATAACTTTTAAAGAAAAGACTTACACTTTATTTTACCTGTACAGAAAGGTGGCAGCTCGGAGGCGCAGTGGTTGGAGCTGTCACCGCTCTGTGAGCAGGTCACAGGATCAACTCTTGGCCTGGGGGCTTTTCTGGGTGGAGTTTGCATGTTCTTCTCATTCATGCATGCGTACTCCGGTTTCTTCTCACAGACTGAAAACATGCATGCTATTGGTAACTACATTGTACTTAGGCACGAGTGAGTATGAACGGTTGTCTCCATGGCTATGTTCACACTGCAGGTCTCAATGCTTAGTTCCGACATTTTGCTCAAATCTGATTTTTTTTTTTTGCCTGGTTGTTCTCATAAACATTAAAATGCGACCTCCATCAGACTCCAGCGTGATCCGTTTACAGTTCTGAGGCGACCTCTGCAGCCGCCTGTGAATCACCCTATCATTCAAGTCAGGTGTGTCAAACAGAGAAACATGTAAAACATGCAGGACTGTGGCCCCCCAAGGACCAGCACTGCCTCTGAATGGCCACTCAGATGTGTTTGTGAAACAATTGCTCACATAAAAGAACAAATAGCAAATTTTAGCTTTGCTTTGTTTTAGAAAATGCCCTATCATTTGTGGAACTGGTGCATGCTTTTGTTTAAAAATGTCTTCATGACGAGAGCTGGTTCTTCTTGTTCCGTTCCACCTCTTTAGGTTCTGGGGTTGCTCCACTGGGCGCTGATTGCCAGCACACCTTACAGGATAGAGCCAGCGTACGGCTGGGTGATGTTTGTGGCCGTCACACTGTGGATCATCACCACCATCCTCTTCTTCCTGATCCTGTTCAACATCCAACGCCTGCTGGCCTTCGTTCCCTGGCCCCTGGTGGTACGGAGAAATTTTAGAAAATTTATTTGAAGTGTGTCAAATCAGCTGCTGCCAGAAATTCAAACAAAACTTTGTAATAATCTAAACTAAGAAAAAAAAAAATGTATAAAGGTCAAAAGAAAGGTTAAAAATGTCCAAAGTGGCTCGTTGCCATGGTAACACCTGTCTGTCCCTCCCTGACAGCCAAATTAATGAGAGGCAGACGCAACACGCAAACTGAAAAATAGGCCTCAAACAGTCGCTGTGCAAAACCCAAGTCAGACGTTGGAAGTTCTTGAACTCTCTTATGAATTTCAATTTTCCTGAAATATTTCCTGCAGGAGAAATGAGAAGTTAGAAACGCTTCTAGTTTTAAAGAGAATATTTAGAGTTGAAATATGGCAGAGGTCTGTGAAAACTTAGGTGCACGCTTTGCATTCTGGGGAGGATTCAAGAGAAAACCCTAAGCACTATAATAGTGAAACTGGGTGAAATAAGACAAAACTGCACATGTTTTAATGTTTAACTATTATTGGTGTAAAAAAAAAGAGGCAGTAAGAAGTTTCATATGTTCGTGATTAGAAAGTTTCAGGCAGCTCAAAAGTTAATGTGATTACATTTTGTTAAAAAATATCTATGAAAGTCATAAAACTTGAGCTCTCATTGCGTAAAAACCATAAAGGATATTGAAATGTCTTTTCAGTCATATAAAGTCCAACTTCCTGTGACCTGTTTAAATTTTAAATGTTTCTCCTGAGAAATGCTGCTGTGTTTTCTCATCTGTTGCAGCAAAGCCTCGTTGATTTCCATCGTTTTTTTGTCTTGCGTTTCATTTCTTTTCCCGCCTACACTGTGCAACGTTCTGCTACCAAAAGTCACAGCGCACTGTTCCCAAACGAGCTGGTGTATAATTTGCCAATTTAGTGTCAAAGTTGCGTGACAAAATACAGGATGAACATTTTAAACAGGGTAGTAATTTAAAAAAATCTTATTTCACGTGTGAAAACAGTTTTTTATTGCCAAGATCTTATGCTCTTCCCAATCCAGGTCCAAAAACAAACACTGAATTCTCCACATCAGACTGAAGAAGTCTTTTGGATGAAAGATGAAACGTTTCTACAATTTTTTTTTTGTTTTGTTTTGTGTTTTTTGAACGTCCAGATGAACTTACTTAACTTTTTTTAGGTTTTTCTACCTGGATGATTCAGCATGCATCAGGAGATCTCCACACCAGTGTTTGCTGCTTCTTTTTTTTTTTTTTTTCATAGAAGGCATAATTTCAGCACCTCCTTTTATTCAAAGATTTGTTGTCAAGACATTAAATAGCTGCTTTTATTTTTAAACAGCTTTTGCAGTTGCTGAAAATATAGTTATAACGATATGTCATAAACAGTCGGTTAGTTCAGGTAAGAGTTAAATGAGGTATTTTCACCAAAAAGTATGAGAAAGTGAAGAAAAGTGGGAAATACTGTAAAAGTGCTTCTTTCCTTTCTGACAGGTGATGATGTATAACGGAGTTGCCACGGTCCTCTACCTCACAGCTTTCCTGGCCAATGCAGCGACTGTGAAGACCTTCTTGTTTTCCCTTTTCTACGGGCACATTGGAGCCGCTGCTGTAAGACTTCAATACAACTCTCACACGCACACATTGTGTGTATAATACTAAAACGTATGAAAAGGTACAAGAAGCACTCACATGATGAGCTTGCGAAGACAAGTCCTTGGAGGCAAAGAATGGGCTTTCATCAGCAAGAAATCTCACGCTGGAGAGTCTTGTTCCATCTGTTTTTATTGCAGCCTCTGTTTGGGCGTGTTTTGCGTGTTGATTTTATTTATCTGTAGCAGGTAAGATGGACACCTTTAAATATTAATGTGTGAGAGGGATTAAGAACAAGATTTCAATTAGCCGTCTCCACCGCTAACAAAAAGACTCATTAAACAAGAGTTATAGTTCTCATGGTCCGGTTGAGGTTAGACCAAGTGCAGGCAGACGCAGGGACCAGGAAGTGTATAAAAATGAATTTATTAATAACCAAAACAAAGGCTGACGTGGCGGCAAAACATGTTAAACATGGAGGGAAACGGAAAATGACACACTGAGATAAAACACAGAGGACCTGTTCAGAAGAAAGAGCTGACATGGAGTTGAGAATAAGAGGGAGAGTGAGAAATGAATGCACCTGGGATGATTACTAATTACAAACAGGTGTGAGTGATAAGTGGCTGGAGAGACTGAGGAGGAGGTGATGAGTGACACGGAAACACAGCGTCACTTAAATCTGGACAAAATTACACCATAATACACAAACTTGTGCAGAACTGTCTCGTATGATCTGTTAGCGCTTGGAGTTCGTGTTGTGATTTCATGTAGGCTAAGATCGATTAGCTGTGGCAGCCATCTTGAATTAGATTGACTTCAATATTGTAGTTGTTCTATAAGTTTCAATAAAATCCATCTAGTGGTTCATGAGATATTTTGCTAACAGACATAAAATGTTGTATTCTATAATGATGTAGATTCTCAGTCACACTTAGCTAGCCATTTTTTGCCTTTATAGCTTTTAGCTTCAAGCTACTGTTTTGCTGCTTTTAGCCTTTGGCTATCCTTTTGCTGCTTTAGTGTACCGCTTCTTTTAGCTTTGGTTTTCTCTAGTTCATATTTATGTTTCGACGCCTAAAACATCAGAACGCAGCCGGAGGAGGTTCTCTTGTTTTACTGTGGCTGAAAGCAACGCAGCACTTTAGTCCTTCACAGCTCTTTTATTGAGGCTAAAGTCTGTTTTGTTTTACAGCCATGGTAATATTTAGCACATGACTTGATTGTACATCCAAAACGTGGACGTTTTTGTCGTCTTCCAGACGATGCTTCTGGTTTTGTTGTAGAGTTTGTGGTTTTGTCAGAAGCAGCCCCAGAAGGCAGAGCGCTATGACTCCAGCTCCGTGTTAAGTCTGGCTCCGTCCTTCTGATCAGCGCGTGTTTCATACCTCCGACACACAAACTCTTATCAGCTCCAGTTTACAGTCTAAAGCTGTGAGGTGTTTTACCAAGTTACTGGGAAAATGTCTTATGATTGATGGAGTTAAAACACAGGTAGCTTGAGTTGTTGGACAACTTAGATGTATTTATGTCAGCACCTGAAGATATCAGACTCATCCACTTCCTGTCCCTGCTTCACATTCCTAAAGACGTCTCTTTGTTGGTCTGTCCAGTTCTTCGGTGCGTTGTTGACCCTGGCCTATGGTGCGAGTGCTTTCTTCGCCTACATGGACTGGAGGAGCGACGGGGGAAACGCAGCCACCGACACGGTGCCGACCTAAGGACTCCGTGGAACCTGTGATTCCCCTGAAGGAAGAGATGAGACTCAACGATCAACACTTCGATCACTTGACAATTACTGCGGATGCTGCAACCCCCAAACTTCAATTTTCACTCCATTGTGACCAAAACAACAACATATCTCTTACTGAACATTAGTGGAGCAACATTAGAGGCTCTGATGGACTGAATAAGTGTCTTTAACGATACGAGACTTTGCAATATCCACAGAATTCACGCTCCGAAGTCCTTTCAAGGGCGAGGTCAACTGGGTCAACGGTGACTGCATCGGCACACCTTCAGCTTTTACTGACAAGTTGATGTTTTACCTGAGCTTTAACTTTTGTCTGCAGTTTCCTGGAGTCTTATCACGTCTGATTACTAATTACAATGTCAAACCATAAAACTGCAGCACGTCCTTACACTGATTTTTGTGCAGGTTAGCACGAGAAACTATATAGCAAAGAGATTTTTTATACGTTTGGACGTTGGTCTTTTCTTATTTTGCTCTGTTTTATTGTGGTTAGTAGAGGAATCTTTACGTTTAAGTCAAAGTTAGTTCACTCAAATGCAGTTCAGTCATGGTATCAGGTTGAATTAAAGGCAAGTCAGCTTGTTTTTATATTTGTGAGGACATTTGCTTCTCTCGTGAGGAGTGGTTGAATTGAAAAAGCTTCTTGGAAGAGAAATAAAAAAATAGAAGTCCAGCTGCCTTCAGTTCAACTTGCTTGTTTACTCAAACATAAAAAAAAAGCCTTAAAATGAGAACATGTGTGTGCATGCTCCCAAAATACTGAATAGAGATGAAATATAAAAATTGTATTAACTAGGCATTAAAAACACAATCTTGTTCAAACTGATGCAAATATAACATTTAAACTATAAATTATAAGAAGTTTTTTTTTGTTTCCATTAAAGGAAATAAATCATAATTTATATCATTTTATTATTTATCTGGAAATTCACTGAATCAAACCAAATGTTGATATTGTTTTGTCCATTAAGAAATATATGTCAAATTTTTGTTTACAGGAGTTATAGTTTTCTAAGCCACCATTATAGTTCACATTAAATGCAAAATTACATTTATTCACACAAATCTTTTTTTTAATTCAAGATTTTTTAATAAATTAAAAAAAAAAAGATAAACAGCAAAACAGGCAATATAAACTGTATCACATACAGCACACGTGTCAAACTCAAAGCGCGGGGGCCAAATGTGGCCCTCGTTGACATTTTTTCTGGCCCCCAAGATGATATGTTAAACATAAAATACTTTTATCACTTGAATTATTTTAGTATTCTTTGATTATGATGTGTAAAGTGCAACAGAGACCAATCAAACTCTTGTTGAAGAATATGTGACCAAGAGAAGATGTTGGGTATCTGACTCAAGTTAATGTAAATTCTAAATTGGCCCTTAGTTTGAACCAAGTTTTTAATTTTGGCCCTATTTTGTAAATGTGTTTGACACCCCTAACGTACAGTATAACCAACACCAAAGAAAAAAATAAATCCCTCACCAATCACTGCCAAATGGAAAGGGGGAAAAAAGAAAGTAAAATAGCCATGAGACTATATTACATGGAATGAGTTGTGACGTCAAAGAGACTGGAACTGATTCAGGAAAAGCCCCCAAACTTTCTCAAATTCACCCTCTTTCTGTTGGAGTGTGAATCTGATTTTCTCCAGCTTTAAACAGGACATGATGTCGGCCAAACACCGAGTGCCTCCACCTGAGCAGAACGGCTCGTCTGGCCAGGAGAGAGGTGAAAGATATTACATGCTGTTGGTTTTTATTTAGATACGCCACCACTGCACTAAAACCATGGATATACGGAGCGATCCGATGTGGTGATATCTCCGTATTCTTCACATATACGTACAATTTCCGGGAAATTCCGTATCGCATCCCCGGCAGATTCGGTTTTCGGATATCCCCGTATACGGACACAAATGGATCCTAAAAAAATCCCAAAATCCGGATACTTATCTGCGGCAGATCCCGAAAATATGTGACTCTGTTATCCCTCGGGATTCCAGCTTTAGATCTCTTTGCATTCTTGCCGCATCTTTGACGTATGGTTGGTTTCAGATTCACGCATATACGTGACAGATGTCTGTCGGATATTTACAGATTTTTATCTG